GTTCGTTTATTTTTTTTTTTTTTTCCTTCGTTTATTTTCTCTTCTTCCCTCGAAAGAAATTATCGTAAATTTGTACAAATCTAAAAGAATTCTCTTATAAATATATTATACATCTATTTAACATATATGACGTATTTATACAATTGACACACATATTAAATATGTATATTCTCGTGTGTGTATATATTTTTCGTATGTGTATATATATATATTTATTTCTTTTTCTTTTTTTTTTCTTTTTCTTTTTTTTTACATGATAGTTTCGCTACGGAATTACTATCAAATTTTAAAACGACTTGATAGAAAGGCCCCTGGGCTTTCGTGGTAATTAGCGACGTTCGTGAGTTTCATTGCGATTTGGCCCACGGCGATGAAGCCGTAATTAACTAAATGTAGGTATTAAAACGATAACCGGGACTTCGTCGCACGCTTTTACTCGACGAATCGACTCTAATCTTTGAGAATGCGTCATTCGTCGAAACAACGTGTCTGCGTGCACGCGAGAAAGCAGGAGAGAGAGAGAGAGAGAGAGAGAGAGAGAGAGAGAGAGAGAGAGAGAGAGAGAGAGAGAGAAAGACAAAACCGTAAAGGACCGAAGTAAATTTCAAAGAATTTATTTATATGTATGTTTAGAAAAAAATATTCCTTTATTCCTTGTCATTGATAATATTATCGAAAATAAATCAAATGAAAAGAAGAAAAAGAAAAAAAAGAAAAAATTTCTTAATGAAATAATCTAAAGATAAATTTGAAATTGGCCAATTGATCGATCAATCGGTGTTAGTAAAATATTTATTATAAATATAAAATAAATATGGACGCGGAAAATAAAAAATAAAAATATCTCGATTTATGACAGAATAATCCGTTTGCCGAAATTATATTAACGGTAATTCGAAGAATGTTATTATTACGGATTACTAAAAAAAAAAAAAGTATGTATATATATATATATATATATATATATATATATATATATATAAACTAATGTAAAAAATGATTTGCAACTTTGAAAGACTTTATGTGTTTTATTTCAATTCGGAATAACGTTATTTAGGAAACTTATTAAAAGCTATAATGTTAGGAGGTTCGTTTCGTAGAAAATTAAAAAATCTTCTAAATACTAAAAATTCCCTAAATTAAGGGTCCTCAGATGTTTCAATTTTATTGTTTTACAATCGATTATAGTCTTTACCGTTCTTGTCCATGCGATAGATCACGTTGTATTTTTTTTACTTTCAATTTCTATGCAGTAAAATGTGTCCCCCAGTAAAACATTCCTCTTAAGGTACCTTCGTTTATTCGCTTTTCTCCTTCCTTTTTTATTTTTGTTATTTCTTTTTAAGTATAATGAGGGTGAAAAGGACACGTAGGTATATGTCATTAAAATAGAGAGACGGAGAGAGAGAGAGAGAGAGAGGGGGGGGGGAGAAAAAAAAATGCTGCGACAGTTAGCCTGAGATCGAAAAAATATCTAATAAAACGAATTATAATGCTTACTATCTTAGATCGTAATAGTTTACTATAGTAATTAAAGAAATTTACATTTGACGCTATCTTTCGCATTGATACGAGTTCGTCATTAGATGGATCAGAGTACCGTAAATTAGTATATAAATAATGTGTCTTTCTTCGAAAACTATATTTCCTTCTTTTTCTCGGATATTTTTTTTTTCTTTCTTTCTTTTCTTTTCTTTCCTACCATTTTCATTTTCTTCTTCTCTTTCTTCGTACCCAAGTGTATATGTATATATATATATATATATATTTTTTTTTTTTTTTTTTTGTTATCCCTCCGGTTGTGAGAGTTCATCTCACGAAGAGGACCTCCTCATGTTGGCTTTTTAACAGACACGGTGGTCGGTGGAGCGAAATGAATAAGAAGAAAATTTCAAACTCGGTTTTGCATACAAGGCAAAAGGGATACCTTATAGGTAATTACGAAGGCTTCGATGAAAAGTAATTTTGCGATCCGTTCCATCCTGACCTTTCTTCAACTTTGTTGTAGGCCATACGTCGCGTACGATACCAATCATTTTTATCTCGATGGGTACGGTCCGGTCCAGTCCAGTCCGGTCTGGCCCGTCCGAGATGGTAGATGATATATCGCATGAAAGAGCAAGTCGATGGCGGGCTGCACGCGACGCGTTTAAATATTTAATGTCGCATTTAA